TGTATTATATGTTATACCTTCTCTCATCATTTTCCATATTTACAGAAAGTAAAATCACAATTTAAAAAAAAAAATTGATGTTATGTGTTACTTTCTGAGTCTCCCACATATGCTAATGTAGATTTTGATTGATTTCTGTAAAGCAATAAAAAGGAATAGAACTGCAGATCACATGAATTCTCCAGGTGGTATCAGTGTGTTTTGACAAGCACATTGAAGGGAAATGAAAAGGTCTGGAGTCTGGGAGCTCACAAGAAAAGCAAAGTGACAATGGGAGATTAAGGTGCATCTAAGGTTCTTGAAGCTCAGGTTGGGAATGACAGCCAAAATGTTGAGAAAAATCAAGAACTTCTGACTTGCTTAAGTGCCACTGCCAAACGTCAACAATAACTCTGGTACAGTTACTTCGCCTTGAAATGAAAGAATTGAATTGTGTAGGTGTTAGGGTTTGAAACCTTTGACTGAGGAAACAGATGAGCCAAATCTGATGGTTTAGGCCTGAAAATGTGCATTGTGTCTTAAGGAATAATGAAAAGCATCCCACTATAACAAGTGGAGTAGCCTAGGGAAAGGGAGACACCTATTCAATTGCTAACTCTGCTGTTCATTAGACCTGTCCATGTCACTAACCTTGCCTGAGCCTTGATTTTTTAGTAAGTGGTTATATTCCCTAGTATTGTGAGGATTAAATCACATACCTACATGGAATTTCTTATTATCCCTTGATCAAGGGAGCCATAAATATTGAATTTAATCTGCGTGGCACAAACTATATGTTTTCCAGTTCGCTTTTGGAATGCATCAGACTTGCAGTTTAGCATCAAAGTTTTTGTTATCTGTCTCTTTCCATCTCCAACATGATATTCACTCTCAGCCTAAATGTATAGAATATTATTCTCTAATTAAGATAATTATCTTACTTGTCAGAAAATAGTCTCTAATTTCTTGCCTTAAAATGTTATTGAGTGGAGCTGACACTGTAGCATAGTAGGTTAAACCTCTGCCTGGGGTGCCGGCATTCCATAGGGATATCAGTCCATTTCTCAGCTGCTCGTCTTCCCATCCAGCTCTCTGCTTATGGCCTGGAAAAGATAGAAGATGGCCCAAGTACTTGGGCCCCTGAACCCATGTGGGAGACCTGAAAGAGGTTCCTGATTCCTGGTTTCGAATTGGCGCAGCTCTGGCCGTTGAGGACATTTAGGGAGTTAAGCAGCTGATGGAAGACCTTTCTCTCTGTTTCTCCCTCCCTCTTCTGTAACTCTGCCTCTCAAGTAAATAAATAAATAAATCTTAAATAACGTCCTTGAGTATATAATTCCCATAACATATATGAAGCCTTCCCATTAGGACAGAGGCCCAAGTTGTCTTGAACAGGGATCACATCACAAAACTAGACTCAGTCTACATTTAGTATACTCCGCTTAACCTACCAGTTCACTGATATTGAGGATCACATTGTGCTGCCCAATGTTGCATGCTAGCCATCTGTAAAATGTTCACGTTCTAGTTACTTATTCCTCTTCCCCATGAAAATCTACTATTCTTTGCTAATATTCACTCAGTGTCTGCCACCACTATGTATCAATGACCTACAGCAGTAGCCAGAATCATTCTTGACTTCTCAAGCACTCCATCTCTTTAGCCACCAATCCATATCTATTTTTGGCATCATTAATTTTAGAATTTCCTCCTCCTGCTGTGTGATTTTAGTTCCATTGCTTACGATGTCCTGTTAGAGCAAAGAACATCCTTTTTAGCTACTCAGTGGTCTTTTCTAGTCAATTGCAACTTCACACCACAACCCACCGGATCAATTTTATGGGAGAGCTAATCTCTTCAATCCATTTTTCTATCTTCAAAAAGTTCTTGGAAAAGGCTGTACTATGAAAAAACTAAGCACAGACTTCAAAAAATATTATGCATCAATAAAAATGTAGCTTTTCATTTCATTTTCTACAAACTTTATTAAGTGCTTTTTTTCTAGTAGAAAATAATTGAAACTGCAGATCCCTGTTTAAGTCACTTTCCCTTAGTTCTTACTGTCTACTAGTGTCTAATTTTATGCTTCACTAATATTAAGTAGAGTTTAGTTTCCCTGGCATATGCTATGCTGCTTAATCCTTCTATGGTTTTTGCAAGCCATTACTTCAACTTGGTCTTTTCTTGCTTATGTCTTCTCAGGTGTTTTTTTTTATTTTTAAGGCTCAACTCAAGATTTCTCCTTTAGGAAAAGGTTTGTCATCTCCTAGAACATTCTGCCTTATTGCTTTGTCATTCCTGAGAATCCTTGTTTCCTGCATTGCAACTACTTAGCACACTGCATGGATAGTTTGTCTTTATCTGCAGGGATCCTACACAGTGCCAACAACTTTTTGACGATAAAGGGTATGCTTCTGTCTCTATGCTTCTCTAGGTTAGGGCATCACTTAGTTTCTATTACCCAGCTTCCCAGAATTACTCAAGTTTCAAATTTGTTCCCCATTTGCTTTTCCAATTCAGTAGACCATGCCAGACCTCTCCAACAATTCATCTTTTTGAAATAGGAAAGTCACAGCAAGCTTCAGTCACATTAATCAAAAATCATAATTACCTATTTGTGCATTTCTTTAGATATAAACTTTTCATAGCATAACTATCACTGATAATACATAATGGTTCTTACAATTCCTTAAATTGAGATTTAGCCTCTAAAAGTCTTTTATTATTTACTGTTGGTTGGTAAGAAGAAATATATTACAAAGTATGTAAGTATGCACATACATAAATATTTCAGGACCATGACATCTTTCCTTATTAAAATAGCTCCACCTAGCAAAATATTTCACTTGAATGTAAGGTCCTCAGAGCTATTGTTTTCATTGCCTGCTCTTTGTTGGGACCTAGATAAATATATATAATGTAGTAGATCTTTTTTTTAACTTTTATTTAGTAAATATAAATTTTCAAAGTACAGTTTATGGATAACAATGGCTTCCCCCCCCCCATAACTTCCCTCCCACTAGCACCCCTCCCATATCCTGCTCCCTATCCCATTCCATTCACATCAAGATTCATTTTCAATTATCTTTATATACAGAAGATCAATTCAGTATATATTAAGTAAAGATTTCATCAGTTTGCACCCACACAGAAACACAGAGTGTAAAATATTGTTTGAGTACTAGTTATAACATTACTTCACATCGGACAACACATTAAGGACAGATCCCACATGAGGAGTAGTACACAGTGACTCCTGTTGTTGACTTAACAATTTGACACTCTTGTGTATGGTGTCAGTAATCTCCCTAGGCTCTAGTCATGAGTTGCCAAGGCTATGGAAGCCTTTTGAGTTCACTGACTTCAATCTTATTCAGACAGGGTCATAGTCAAAGTGAAAGTTACCTCCTCCCTTCAGAGAAAGGTACCTCCTTCTTTGATGGCCCCTTTCTTTCCACTGGGATCTCACTCTCAGAGATCTTTCATTTAGGTCTTCTTTTTTTTCCCAGAGTGTCTTGGCTTTCCATGCCTAAAATACTCTCATGGGCTCTTCAGCCAGATCTGAATGCCTTAAGGGCTGATTCTGAGGCCAGAGTGCTATTTAGGACATCTGCCATTCTATGAGTCTGCTGTGTATCCCACTTCCCATGTTGGATCGTTCTCTCCCTTTTTGATTCTATCAGTTGGTATTAGCAGACACTAGTCTTGTTTGTGTGATCCCTTTGACTCTTAGACCTATCAGTGTGATCAATTGTGAACTGAAACTGATCACTTGGACTAGTGAGATGGCATTGGTACATGCAATCTTGATTGGATTATATTGGAATCCCCTGGCACATTTCTAACTCCACCATTTGGGGCAAGTCCAATTGAGCATGTCCCAAATTGTACATCTCTTTCCTCTCTTATTCCCACTCTTATATTTAACAGGGATCACTTTTCAGTTAAAATTTAAACACCTAAGAATAATTGTGTGTTAATCACAGAGTTCAACCAATAGTACTAGAACAAAAAAAAATACTAAAATGGATAAAGTATTGCATTGTACATCAACAGTCAGGACAAGAGCTGATCAAGTCACTGTTTCTCATAGTGTCCATTTCACTTCAACAGGTTTCCTCTTTGGTGCTCAGTTAGTTGTCACTGATCAGGGAGAACATATGATACTTGTCTCTTTGGGACTGGCTTAATTCACTCAGCATAATATTTTCCAGATTCCTCCATCTTGTTGCAAATGACCGGGTTTCAATATTCACTGAGTGAGGGAATGAATTGATCTACATGATTCACCTACCTTACAAGATGATAAATACAGAACATGAAGTAGAGAGACTGCATTTACTACTACGGATTTCCTTGGTGATTCTTAACTTATAATTTGAAATTAAATAGACTCACTTAAAATCCTGATATATTTTGTTTAGATCCGTTGCAGTCTTGAACTTAAGCTTTGTGTTTTTACCAGAATCTATATCCAAAACTCAGCTGATAATTGGTACATGATCAAAAACAGATATTTTCATGACCCAATATATTTATATGCACTCACTTATTACTAGAACTCTATTCAATCATTGTTGAAAATAACATTTTAGGAGTCCTTTATTTTTCTATGTGATGGCTTTTAAAATGTTATAGAATGCCTCTATGAGGATGTCTCAAATCAAATGAATTTCATGCATGCAAAAAAAGTTGTTTATTTTCCAGATAGTCAAAAAATTCAGCATCTAATTTGAGAGTGATGTAAGGTGATCATTCACTTTCATTAGTTCATCAAAAATAAACTCCTTGTAACCTCAACAACACACACAAACACACACACCCTAAAGGAGTAACAGAAGTAAATGTAAAGTACAAACAAACCATGAGCACATACAAAGATATGAAAGCCTGAATGATATCTTGAGGGGAAATGAGGAAAAGAAATAGTGCTGTAAATATTATTTTATAATGAACAATTTTTAATAAAATGTGTAAAAATGATCATTTGTATCCTTTGAAACTAAATCTGTTCAACTCACCTTCATATAACCAGTCAGCAATGCCATTAAAAATAATTCCTTCTTTCCCAGAAGATGTCAATCTCAGTGAACTGCTCTTTATATCAGGTTGATAGTAGATATTATTTTCAAAAATATAAATCTAGATCAGGAGGCATATGAAAAAGTACAAAAAACTCAACATGTTAGGATACCGTTAATAAACTTTCCTGTTACACAATGATCACAGACTAGCTACATGTTTTACTTGTTTGCTTTCAAACTGGTTCCACACATATTTGTATTATTTTCAAATATTAATGGCTGTTTCTCTCCCTATCATGTCAACATCAGGTTATCATTTGGGAATCATGTGGCAATTGACATTGTTTTTTTATTTCATATTTTCAGCAACAATGTTTCATCTACTTAAACATCTCTCTGCCACACAACAAAATAGATTTGACTTTAGGACAAACTATTACAAACTCAAGAGGTTGAGAGCTGAAAACAGTACACCATTTTAATAATGGATAACTAACCAAAAAGCTCCAATCTGGGGCATTTACAACTGCAAAGATGTATTTGGTGATGGACATAGTAATCTTTAGAGAATCTGATGCTATGCAGTTTGACACACAGAATCACCAATGACAAGAAATTATAATAAATGTCCTTTATGCTAGTAAGTGGAGCATAGATCCCAATGCACCAATATCCTTGGTAACTCCTTTTTAAATAGTAAGGCAATAATCATAACCTTTTGCCTAAGAGCTGAAGAGTTCTCATTTGAATGCAATGGCAAGTTTTCCAAAACAATATCAATAACAACAGCTCCACAACAAAAAGCAACAATAAAAAAAAATAAACAGTATTGGTCTACACAAAAGGATGTGCCTTTGAGATAAATAATTCCAGATAAAATTGTAAATCATACATATCCTCCCATATAATCACATTTCTTCCATACTGGGGGAGGCAGAATATTTTCTATTTAGATCAAATGTTTTACTACAAAGGTGAAAGGTGGCCTAATGCCCATATTTTCAGAATGTTACAGAGTAATTACATAATACCAAACACAGAAAGCACAAGAATTTTCAAAACAATTAACTCTGTAATTATAAGGTCCTAGATATTTAAACAATAGTGTGCATGGTGAAAAATATAATATTAATATCCAGAAAATTTCATATATATACATATATATATATATATGAAAGAGAGAATTTACTTAAAGTCAGCATTACAGAGACAGAGAAGGCGGGGGGAGAGGCAGAGAGAGGGGGATCTTCCATCTACTTGTTCATTCCCCAAATGGCTTCAATAGCTAGGGCTGGGCCATGATGAAGCGAGGAGCCTGCCACTCTTTCTGGGTTTCTTGTATGGGTAGCAGGATCCCAAATACTTCTGATTTTCCAGGCACATTAGCAGGAAGCTGGATTGGAAATGGAGCAGCTTGTCTCAAACAGGCACCCATATGGAATAGCAACATCACAGGTGATAGCTTAATCCTCTGTGCCACAAAGCTGGCTCCTGATATTCTGTTTTGATTCTGGTGATATGGCAGGCATTCACTGGTGGGTGTATCTAATTAGTAATTCCACCCTTATAACACAGTTCTTTATATTACAGGTAAGAGTGCCAACATCAGAATAAAAATGTTGGGGGACAAAAAACAGAAACCATTTATATAGTAGGGTGTTTTGTAAAGCATGGGCCTTACAATCAGGCAAACTAAATTCAAAATACTAAATTTAATGATTTTTGTGAGTTTGTAATATTTCTAAATCTGTCTTCTCCTTTATAAAATGTACGTAGGATTCACATGTACCTTGCAGAACTGTTGAGAATAAATGAGATAGATGATGATTGTAGAATATATAAAATGTGTGTCTGTTACTAAAAGCAAAGCTGACTTCACACAAGATAAGTTAAGCTTTCAGTAGGCAATAAACTATAAATCAAAATAAAACCTTTACAGTTTCAATGAATAAATAATCCCAAAATATTGGTCAGTGGCATAACATGTATTATGAGCAGTATTAGAATGGTAGTAGCAGTAGTGGGAAGAGGTCAAAGAGGAGGCAGAAGAGTCGCATTAACAAATAATATTTAATGTTTTCACTTCAGTTACCATGTGTGTACCACACACCCTTAACAAGACTCCTGAGTAAGAACAGTACAGATCATCCACACTAAGGCTATTCAAGTACATGTAGCTATTGTTAGGAGTGAGGGATGATGTCACCAAAGTAATAGGGTCCCAATCCTCAGAGAAAAAACTCTAACTCAAAATAATTAATAAAACCCCCACGACTTCAGCAGATGTATAAATTATCCAACACTATTGACCAGTAATTACATTTATATTTGAAGAACAGATTGGATGATATTCAGAATCCATATGAAACTGACATCTGCTCCAATGTAAAAGAACAAGCAGTATTGAATCAGAATTTTAATGACATTCCATGAAAACCTGCAATACCAGAGAATGTCCACGAGATCTTTCCTCGAGTGAACACAAAATTAGTGGCTGCTTTGATAACAATGTATATTTATAATCTCCTAACTCCTTGTTAATTATCAATGTTTTGGATTGAATTGTATTTATGTCAATTATAAACTCCAACTACTGCCTTATCAATCTGATGACTGCATATTATGTTCACGGAAATGCATATTATGAAAAAAAGAAACAACTATAATCGATTTCAAAATTTTGTGCACTGATGCAAATATATCTAATTCCATGTTCCATGAACTTTTCAAAGGATCTTTATACTTACTTGTACTAACTACCCAGGCACACTGATGAAGTTAAATAGTATTCAAATCACAACCATCAGGAGCAGTAACTGGATATAAATCACATTGGAAATATGACAAACATTAATGTCATTTATCCAAAGTTACTATTTAACGGCCATTATCATTTGATACCATTGTTCAATTCCTTCCATGAGCCTCTTAACCAGCATAACAAATAGAAATAAAGGCAACTTAATTTTTTAAAAAGATCTATTTTATTTATTTGAATGACAGAATTAGAGAGAGAGGTAGAGACAGAGAGAGAGAGAGGTATTCCATTAGAAGATTCCCTCCCCAAATGGCTCTACTCTCAGAGCTGGGCCAATCCAAAGCCAGGAGCTTTTTCCAGGTCTCCAACATGGGTGCAGGGCCCCAAGGACTTGGGCCATCCTCCACTGCTTTCCCACATGCAATAGCAGGGAGCTGGTTTGGAATTGGAGCAGCGGGACTAGAAACAGCGCCCACATGGAATGTTGGAGCTGCAGGCCAGGATTTTAACCCACTGAGTCACAGCATTGGTACCGCAATTAGATCTTTAACTCTTTAATTCACAAAGCAGGCCAACTATCCAGGCTTTCAACTTCAATGGTCTTAATCTACCCACCAAGCAATTCAAATTTTGTAAGGTCACCAAGAAGGGAAACAGAAGGAAACGAGATACTATATGCTGAATTACTCTACTTGGCAATATTTGATAAGTGCCCCAAGAAATTCTAATTAATGTGTTAGCTGATATCACACATGATTAAGTGATTGGATACATTATGTATTCTTTCCAAGCAGAAGGCTTTAAGGGCCACTTTACCACTTTTTCTACCTCTTTCCAAAACTATCTGCAGTGCTTCAAGATGCTAGACATCCAAAAATCCCGGTACCCTTTTTTGTGGAGTGAGGAGATGCTGAGCAGATCACCGCAGCCAACTGGTAGTGGGCATTATATGTTGAAAGTCATTAAGACTTGGGAGATAAGAGTAATCATAATGTAAATCAGCTTACTGTGACAGGTTCAACTAGTGACAATGGCAGAAACAATCTCAGAATAGCATACTATCACAAACTTTTCACTTGCTTCAATGAAAAAATATCAAAATACATAAAATAGAACATTAGCTCTATTTTAGCAAAACTATTACTGAAAAGCTATTCCACCCTCACTGATGGGTGATTTTCAAAAAAAATTACTTTCGAAAACTCTGAATCATTAGGTTATTTCCATTTAAAGCTAGTGTTATATCACAACAGGTTAAGCTGTCACCTGTATTGCTGGCACCTAATATCAGAGCACCTGTTCAAGTCTCTGCTTCCCTTCTAGCTCCCTGCTAATGCAACTGAGAAATAAGCAGATAATAGTTCAAGTATTTGGGACCCTGCCACCCACATGAGAGACTCACATGGAGTTTCTGGTCCTAGCTTCAGCCTTGAGCCCTGTCTGTTGTGGCCATTTGGGGAGTGAATCAGAGGACAGAAAATCTCATTATCTATCTCTCCCTTCCACTGGTGTCAAATTGCCTTTCAATAAATCGATACTTAAAAAACGTATCTCCTTGTTTGTAATGGTATCACAGGTTCTATAAAGTTAAAGTGGAATTAATATTATAATTGGGTGCCCTTTACTACTACTTACTTTTTGGGAAAATATTATAATTAACCCACTATCTGAGATAACAACTAGTTCTTGGCAACTATTGTTCCTCTGTTGGATTCTATGAATTTGACTATTTTAGATTCCACATAGAAGTGGAATATACAATATTTTTCTTTCTTTGGCTTGCTTATTTCAGTTAGCATGATGTCCTCAAGGCTCATCAATATTGCTGCATATTGAAAAATACCCTTATATTTAAATGCTCAATAGCTTTTCATTCTATGTTTTTAGCAGTTTCTTTATCCATTCATCTACAGATAGACATTTAAGTTGTTTCCGCACCTCAGCTATTGTGAATAGTATTGTAGTGAACACAGGAGTGCTAATATCTCTTTGAGATCCTGCTTTAAATTTGATTCAGTATGTACTCAGAATTGGGATTGATAAATCATAAAGTAGTTTTATTTGTTACTTTTTGGGGAATGTCCAAAGTGTTTTGCCAACCATCTGTACCAGTTTATATTCCAACCAGTAATCAATGAATTTTTCTATATACTCACCAAGACTCCTTTCTCTCATTTTTTATAATATCTATACTGACAAGTATGAGTTGATATCTCATTGTCATTTTGATTTACATTTCCCCGACAATCAGTGACTGCATTTATGCTTGTATAAAAATTATGCAAGTTAGTACATGTATGAATGAAGTGCTAACATTAATTTCAGTGAAAACAAAGATTATAGTGTTATAGAATATCTGG